TTTTTTTTTTTTGTTTCTTTTTTAACAAATTCTTTTTTTTAACTTTTTTGTTTTTTAAATTCTTTTTTTTCCCACTAAGCAGGACAAACACATCAGAAAAATTGTTTCAGCTGCTGCGTTGTTTCAACTGTTGGTTGTGGTGGAAAGTTTTCTTAAAATTGAATTAAAAATAATTTTATACTTTTTTAAAATAAAATATGGAAAGTGTAATTGTTTTGAGTCGGTTTTTATTTTTATTTACTTCAATTGTTAAGAATTGTCATGTACCAACTCTGAAACTAATTTGAAGATGAAGCTATCTCGCTCACACATCACGATTTGCTACAGTTGAGTACATCTTTTTTAACAGTGTGGCATCTTGCTCTTGTCTTTATCATAGCGAATGATTCGTATTTATTTATTTGTTTTTTTTCCGCAGAGGTCTGCCAACATTTTATGTCCACAAAAATTATTATAATTCTAAGAAGAAAGGCATAAATTATGGATAAAAAGGTGGTATCGAAAAGTGATGAAAAACCATTAATAAGTTACAGTGATACTGAAGATGTACAGATCCCAACTGCAGGCACTTTCGGCAACTATGACGAGCAAAGCGACGAAGAAATATTAATCGGAGCTAACGAAAATGGAATACCTTCTGATGAACTACTAATAGACTTTAAAAACAAAGCACAGGTGGAGTCGGAACGTCCTATTGTTCCTATTGTAAGTGATTACTAGTTAAATGAGTCATTATTTTTTCTGTATGTGCAAAAACCAATTGCAGGTATTTAAAACCACACGTAATACTTCAGTGCCAGTGTCAGAAAGGTTAGAGTCATCCAGTGATCAAGTCAATTTGTCTGTGGAACCATCAACATCACAAGTCTCCCAACAGCATCCCACATTTCATTTACGCTCTCGTACGGCGGCCATTAACGATCAGGCCGATATTTACGAGGTATTCGTCACATTTTATTTTACAAATACGCGTACTTATCTGTGTAAACTTCTTTCTTTTTAAGAGTTTAGACTATGATGTTTGCGAAAATGTTCTATTTCAAGCAGAACAGAAACGTCTTGCAGGCATTAGATGGGCGTCGCGTAAAGACATATTACGTTGGATCATATTCATACAAATTGGTATCATTACCGCTCTAGTGGCCTGTACAATCGATATTATTATCGAGGAATTGAGTCGACTAAAATATAAATTTTTAAAATACCGTAAGTGAAATAGTGTTGCTTCTCACAATAGTTCCTTAGATTATTCGTTTGCATATTTTCATAGAGGTGGATGGGAATATTTCTACGGGTGATTTGGTCATACCCTACCTATATTGGTTAATTTTAAGCATAGTTCCAGTTAGTCTAGGAGCCGCCATGGTAACTTATATAGAACCGGTTACGGCTGGAAGTGGTGTGCCTCAAGTGAAAAGCTATCTGAACGGTGTTAAAATTCCACGAGTAGTGCGCATTAAAACGATGACTGTTAAAGCTGTAGGCGTCATAACTTCCGTTGTTGGGGGGCTGGCAGGAGGCAAGGTATTGCATTGATTTTACAAAATTTTTTTTAATGATTTTTTGAAAGAGTTTTTCTTTTTTACTATTTAGGAAGGACCTATGATTCACGCCGGAGCGGTTGTAGCTGCCGGTATATCTCAAGGCAAAAGTACTACTTTTGCAAAAGATTTTCGTGTATTCAAAGACTTTCGTGATGATCATGAGAAACGTGATTTTGTCTTGGGTGGGGCGGCTGCTGGTGTGGCCGCTGCTTTTGGCGCGCCAATAGGTGGAATGTTGTTCTCTTTGGAAGAGGCGGCAAGCTTCTGGAATCAAAATCTCATATGGCGAACTTTAGTAGCCTCTATCATCAGTTCTTTTACTTTGAATATTGTATTGTCTGCCTATCACGGTTTAAATAATTACACCTTCATCGGTCTTTTCAATTTGGGAAAATTCGAACAGCCTTTGACTTTTAACTATTACGAATTACCAATATTTATGTTATACGGTATAGCGGGCGGTCTGTTAGGCGCCTTTTGGAATATGCTAAATACTCGCTTAAGTCGTTTCCGGGCGAGATTTATTAAACCGAAATTCGCCAAAGTTCTAGAAGCAACGTTTGTGGCTATGTTAGGTGTTTCAATGGCTTGTGCTATGATATATTTCATTAACGATTGCCGTCCTCTGGGAAATGATCCAACCGAATATCCAACACAGGTAAAAAATTACTTAGCTATCAATGAAAAATATGTTTCCCATAAACACCTTTCTTTACTACTTAGCTATTCTGTGAGGATAATGAATATAATGCAGTGGCTGCTTTATGGTTCCAAACACCGGAGGCCACAGTTCGTTCTCTGTTCCACGATCCTCCTGGTACGATATTTGCACAAAATTTCGTTAAACGAAAGCTTTTGAAAAGGAAATTTTTCTTTCTTAGGGTCTCATAAAATCTTAACTTTAACTACCTTCACTTTAATTTACTACGTGTTTTCTTGCTTAACGTTTGGCCTCAATGTCAGCCTAGGAGTATTCATACCTACAGCTTTGGTGGGTGCCGCTTGGGGTCGCCTGGTGGTAATGATTGCTTATTATCTCTTCCCTAAAGCGGTATGTGAAATATTCGATTTTTTTCATCTCTGGAAAATGTAAATTTTTTAATTTTCCTTTCAGGCTTTCCTAAACCCTGGTAAATATGCTTTAATTGGAGCCGCGGCTAATTTAGGTGGTGTACTGCGTATGACGATCAGTTTAACGGTAATTTTAATGGAAACCACTGGAATGGAGCCATCTTTTTTTTTTCCTATAATTTTAACCTTGATTAGTGCAAAGTGGGTTGGCGACTATTTCAACGAAGGTATCTATGATATACAAGTGGCCGTTAATCATGTGCCGATGATGCCATGGGAACCTTTATCACATTATCGGGGATTGAGAGCTTCAGATATTATGAGCGCACCAGCAGTGTGCGTTATGCTGCAAGATAAAGCGAATTATATATATGACATATTAACGCGATGCAAGCACAACGGTTTTCCGGTAGTGGAAGATGTCAAAGGGGTAAGCAAGTTTAATTTATAATCATATCCGCCGGTGAAATTTAGCATATAGTTTCGTTTGCACCACTTCGGAATATGTATTAAATATCTCGTCAAGTGGGGATATCCGCGTGTGATGGCTGGTTTATTTCACTCATCATTTGTTGAATTGACAGGTCTTGTAGTGGGCCATGAACCATCATTAAATATCCGGCATCACTTTGATTTATGCAGCATGAATGACGATTTTTCAAAATAAAGCATTATATGGGAAGTGGTCGAAAAAGTGATCCGATCTGTGTGCATCGACACAAATTTAATGCACCCTTATAGGGTATAAAAATGTATCGTTTATTTCGGCATGGCTCTTTTCACTTCTTTATTATATTCATTTTGTTGTTTTCCACAATGTATGCAACACCCAACAGAAAGCTTCAGAGACGCTATAAACATGTTAATGTATACCTTCTTCACAAGCGTGAAATTCTAAGTTGATTGAATCATGTCTGTCCGTCATGTGTCTGTATGGTGTTTGTTTTTTGCACTTTCCTGGTCTCAAAAATGAAAACATCCACTTCAAATTTTGTAAAAACATTGGAAATCTTTGCACATAGGTTGGTGAAAATGGGTCAAATTGGTCAGAGCAGAAGACAGCAGCGGAGCGTAAACTGAACGCAACTCCATTTTCCTTAACAAAAATTTGTGGATTACAAAAGTTACAAAATTGAAATTTTCCACATTTACTTTGCGAAACACTCTACTATTCACATGCAAAAATGAAAAATGTCGGGCAAGCCCACACAAAGTTATAAGCAATGAAATTATCTTTTTTCACTTTTTTGATGTTTTATGTTTATTTATCATAACGCAACTGAGGCAGAATGTTTAAAAATATTTTTTCCATTCCTCAAATAAATATATATTATCTATCTAAAAATGGGTTAATTCTAAAATGAATGCGATAGACATTGATCGATTGATTTTTTCCTAATAATACCATCGATATGGGTATCAAATCAAAGAACTTGGAAAGTAGATTGTGAAAAGCACAGTTTAACTTTGTTCTTAGTTTGTTTTCTTTATTAGGATTTTGCAAAAGCCCCATAAGTGATATCGTCGCTGAGTTCTTTTCAGAAACCTGTTTTTTTACCTTACATCGCTTGTGGTAAAGGATTATATTATGCTTGTAGGGATGCATGCAACGCACCAAAGGGCTTGAAGCAAACTTACCTTTTATTATATCGATGGATTCCGAACCACTGTCACTCTTGTCTGTCCCTGTGTCTGTCTTGTTTACTTGTAGTTAATTTTTTAGATATTTTGATGAAATTTGGTGCACAATTTATAAAGGAACGAAAGAATTATGACATCCAGACTGAAATTTACTTCTTTTCCTTTTTTTCAATGAAACATTTAGAATGAACGGTGTTCGGGTCGCGTGTGTGGCATCATTTTGCGATCGCAATTGATTGTTATTCTATTGAAGTCGCTGTTTGAAGAGAATAAACGGTTTTGGGAGAAAGAAGTTTCCATTCAAACCTTCCGTGATCTTTATCCACGTTATCCATCCATAAAGGTAAGCTGTTTGATGATTTATATGATTTATGCGTTGCTGCTTACAAATTAATTGGCTTTTTCTTCATAGCATGTTAAGATGGATAATGATAAAATCAATTACACGATTAATTTGAATATATTTATGAACCCATCACCGGTTTGCGCAAATGAGGTAAGTTGTAAATGGTTTCCTAATTTGGTTTTTGTGAGTGTTTTAAACATTTTTTTTTTTTGTTTTCGTATTTATTTTCACCTTTTTTCCCACAGCATGAATCCGTACCAAAAATTTTTAATAAATTTCGTGCCTTGGGTTTACGTCACTTAGTAGTAACGGATCGTGAAAACCGCATTGTTGGCATTATAACGCGTAAAGATTTTCTTTATAAATAACATCTGCGTAATCCGCTAAATTGCATTTATCCCTTTAGGTCCAGAATGGGCCTTCAACATTCATATTAAGTTTTGTATAATTATACTTAGGCTTTAAAAGCTTTTTAAATTAAGATTATTAGCTCATAGGAAATATTCACTGGTATTAAAAGCATATTTTTTTAAAACCATAACGAATTCTACTTTAATTGTTTCACTAAGATAGATTCGAGTTGACTTTGTTCTAACTTTGGTATTTTTTTTTTTTATTTAACCATTAAATTGCCCGTTTATGTTCTTTTTTTAATTTAAACGTTAAAATAAAATTATTGTAAATCTATTGTAGTACAATTGGTAGGTTGGTATGTCCCACGCAACGCAAGGCTCGCGTTACATTCAGTCCATACTTTGCATCGTGAACTTGAACGTCGGTTTGGTAGCGCGGCATCGATTAATCCATTATTCAGCTTCTGGGCAAAGGGATAGCAAGAGGTAACAGTTGTCGTGGGAAAGCACCGAAACTAGCGGCGCGTGTATGGAAAATCATGTCCGATGATGAAAAAAGACCTTACCGATTATTAGCCATTGAGGAACAAAGACTGAAACGTTTGCGTCCGAAACGTAAAAGCATAGCAAAATCCTTACCCAAAAGACACAATAATTCTAAAGCGAGTTTGCCGACCGAAAATTATAGGCAGTTCTCCAATATTTCTAGAACTCACGAACCAATCAATATAAACGTGAATATATTTAGTTCTGGGCGGGGGGGTTGTGGCGAGACTTATTCCGCAGATGCAAACTAATTATGCTTATAACATGGAACATGGAAAAAATTTGCAAATTAAAAATTTTTTTTTTGGTATGTTGACACAGAGATGAACTAAGCCAAATTTTAAAATTTTAAACGTTTATTTTCATTGCTAGAAAAAAATCAGCTGACGCCTTCAACAACTCTGTAGGAAATATCGCAAGCGTATGCGAGTAGGATTGTTTTTTATTTTCAGAAAATATGTAATTAATAAGTTTTTAATTCAATTCGCTGAAGAAGAAGAGCAATTTGTAGTTAGTTAGTTAATTAGAAATATGTAAAAGTATTACTTTTGCAAAAGATTTTCGTGTATTCAAAAACTTTCATGATGATCATGAGAAACGTTGCTTTGTCTTGGGTGGAGCGGCTGCTGGTGTGGCCGCTGCTTTTGGTGCGCCAATAGGTGGAATGTTGTTCTCTTTGGAAGAGGCGGCAAGCTTCTGGAATCAAAATCTTATATGGCGAACTTTAGTAGCCTCTATGATATATTTCATTAACTTTCCTGGTCTCAAAAATGAAAACATCGACTTCAAATTTTATAAAAACATTGGAAACAAAACATTGGCATTATAACGCGTAAAGATTTTCTTTATAAATAACATCTGCATAATCCGCTAAATTGCATTTATCCCTTTAGGTCCAGCATGGGTCTTCAACATTCGTATTAAGTTTTTTATAATGATACTTAGGCCATAAAGGCTTTTTAAGTTAAGTTTATTAGCCCATAGGAAATATTCATTGGTATTAAAAGCATATTTGTTTAAAAACATAACGAATACTGTATTAGTTGTTTCACTTCTAAGAAACATTCGAGTTGTCTTTGTGCTAAATTTCCAATTTTTTTTTTTTAATTTTTGTCACTCTTTATCTATCATCATTTTCTTTTAGTTGTAATCAATAACTTAAAAATCTCAACAAATTTTCTCTTCGTGATTTTTTTAAATTTTCAATTTAAATTCAATTTTTCCATACCCATTAAATTACCCGTTTATTTATTCATTTTTTTATTTTTTTATTTTAAAAGTTTAAAATCAAATTGCAATTAGTTGGGAAAAAAAGTTTTGAAAATCCAAATTAAAAAGTTTTTTAAAAAGAGGTGAACTATGGCGTGGATTTGGGAAAAAATTTGTAGTACAATGGATAGTCTGGTACGTCCCACACAACGGAAGACTCGCGTTACATTCAGTCCAAGTACTCTGCATCGTGAACTCGATCGTCGGATGAGTGGTGCGACATCTATTAATCCATTTTTCAACTTCTTGGCGGAGGTACGAATAAAAGCACAAGGCAACAGCCATCGCGGGAATGCACCGAAAGCTGCGGCCCGTTTATGGAAAATGATGTCCGATGATGAAAAAAGACCTTATCGATTAATAGCCGTTGAGGAACAAAGACTCAAACGTTTACGTCCGAAACGTAAAAGCATAGCAAAATCCTTACACAAAAGACGCAATATTCCTCAAACGAGTTTGCCGAACGACAACTATAGACAGTTCTCGAATAATCCTGAAATTCACGAAGCAATCAACTTAAATGTGGATATACTTGGTGCTGGCGGAGATTGTGGTCACACTTATAACTCAGATCCAGCCAATGTAAACTAATTATTCCAATTAGTCTTTGAAATATTTTATTTTATACGATTACGAGATATTCGAAATAAAAATGATTTATCATTCATAACTGTCCATGAAAAGCTTTTCGTTTGAATTCGTTTGAAATGAAAATTTTGATTTGGTATTGAAAAGGCGTGGAAGTTAAACATTTAAGACCGGAAAATAAAAAGACTAAACTAATATTGAATTGAATTAAATTGAGTATTAACAATAGCAAGTCACCATCAATTTTACTTTACTGCGTAGGCTGCAATGTCTATCACGGTATAATATTGAAACCATGACACGAAATTTAAATATTCTATGAAATCATAAGGAATCAGTTATCAATTCGATGTAGACAATAATTGCTTATTTTTACGAAACCTCTTAAGGTTTACAAAACGGAATGAATAATTCCTCACAAAGAAAACCAAACCAGCTCCAGACCAGCTATACAATACGTCAACGTCATTCATACAGTATACCATTAGTGATATTATGAACATACAAACAGACTATAACAATCATGCGCCTTAGTGAATCGGCGCGTGTTAACAATTGACTTAATACCCTTAGGCAAAATGCTAAGAATTTAGTTTGTGCTAATCAATCGAGTTACTATGCTTTGGCATAGTTGCAATACGGCCGTATTCGAAAATTTTGGAGAATATTTATCGTGATAAGGGCGACTTGACCATTCTTCTTACGATGGATTTCCTAAAAAGCCTTCGATACTATTGACCATAATTTGTTATTATCAAGGCTTGAATTTTATTTTGGCTTCAGTTCGTTTGCTATTAATTTATTTCGAACATCGGTATCAACTTGTCGTTGTTGGCGATTTTTGTCCTCAGAACATAGAATGATTGCATATGATGCCTCGGGGTCTATTATATTTGGTTTTTAGCCGTTATTTGATTTAGGCGCATATACTGATGATGCACAAATTTACCTCTCGCGCTCACCTGGCTTGGTAGAGTATCTGATTCAGTGAATAAATAAAGATTTAGATCTTGTTACTCTCTTGTCGGACTTTAATAATTGGAAGTTAAGTTCACGCAAAACTAAGCCACCGCAAAATCACCTACGAGTTACGAGCCCCACTTCTTATCACTTATTAGAATGGTCGAAGAAAATAATGGCGTTTGCTAGTACAGTCACACATTTTGATTTTAAAGCCAACTATCGCTTGAGCGTGAAAGGGACATGTTAATTTCACGACACGAATTCATAATATTTTAGAAGGCTATAGCTCTCCTAATCTTTTCTCCCAATCTTCGCTAAATTAAGATCATTTATGTGGTTTGTTGTGTCGTTCAAATCGTATAGATTGCGTGTATATGATAAATTAGATTAGTTTTCTAAGAAAAAATTGCAAATAAGTGTCTGTTAGTAACGATCTTTCGTTGACTTACTATTAGAAATATGACTTTTCCACATAAGTTTAATTTTTTTTTGTATGTATACGAAAAATATTGAAGTGTCTAAAAAGATGTAGTAAGGTTTTAATAACGCTTCACTTCCGTTAGTTAGATGTTTCCCATGTTGTTACTAACGATAATTTCTCGATAATTTGTCTCGAATAACCAACGAAACCGTCGCCTACGCTCACAAAGTTCTCTTACCTTCTTACTCTTCAGCCTCTTAGAGGGGTGGAACTGAAGTGAGCCGACCAGAACTATTTTCAATAGCGTTCCTCCTCAGAACAACGCACACTAGAGGGTTTCATACTAGCGGGTTGAACACGAAAACCTCTTAAAAATACTCAAAAATTTCTAAACTTTATCCTTAAGTTAGTCAATGTGGCAAATATTTGCCACGACCATGCAAAGCTACCTTGCACACCTCCACAACGGAAGAAATTTTCTTGCGGTGTACGGATACATTAGAGTTGTCCAGATGCAACGCCTAGAAGTACTTGAGATGGTCTTGCCTTTTATTATACTAATCGACTCGGACGCATATTCATGCTTGTCTTCCGCTTTTCTGTCCGTCTGTAGGCAGTTTTCTTGTGTTCAACGTGCAGATCGCAATTTTTGGCTCAAGGGCGAACGCTATTGAAATTAGTTTGGATCGGATCGCGTTTTCGATCACTTCTCATAGAAAATTTTTATTTTGAAAAATCGATATATGAATTAAAGTGGTCTTGTATAGGGTAAATAACGATGAGCCTTGCCCAACTTTAGTGTTTTTACTTGTTTCCTTTAAGGCTTTGCAGGTTTTCATTGTGGTTGAAAAAGGCCAATTGTTTAGCGGCTGCCGGCTATTCATGTAACACATTGATGGTTAAAAAGAAGCGAAGAAAGGGAAAGAGAGATGCTGGCCGCATCCTACTCAATGCATGCCCAATCGGTGGTAGGTGTTACCTCTTTACCGACTAAGCACTTAGTCGCAAGTCTTATCTGCTAGGTAACTTTTGCTTGGCGCCTATGCAGATAATAACAGTGCATCCAACTAATACTGATATGTCGGTCTACAAGAGATATACACACATTGCGTAAATACACTACAAGATAGATTTACGATATCGCATTCGTTCACTTTACCTTAGGAATAATAAAAATAAATTAAAAATTATTATCGACATTGATATTTAAATCAAAAATAAAATGAAAACAATTGATTTATAAATTAAATTTAAAATAGGTTGAAGCAAAAATTTTGTTGAAAAAGTTTCCTTGAAAAATATTAAAAACCCGCGCGTACTGATCGCATTTAAAAGCAAAATTAGAAATCGAAATTTCTACAGTAGAGCAATCCATTCGACTTTCTCAACTTTGCAGACTGAAAATCGAAAAACGAAGGCCACCTTTAAATGGCACTGATTTGGGAAAAAATTTGTAATATATTTTGCAAACTTGTGCGTCCTACGTTACGGTACGAGGAAGCACGT